TCGTCTACCTCAAGGGGGGTAAATACAAGTTATTTTTCATTTGTTTGAATTTAAGTGTCTTGAGTGTGATTGGTTTTGTTTATCAGAAGCAGTTTGCAACACTCCTCTCATGTCTGTCTTTATGCTACAAAAGCACTGAAAATGTCAGTCCAGTTCAGGAGCTGCTAAATGCTTCCACAGAGCCTGCAGAAATTCTACAAAATACTGCCTTGTAGGTCCTACCAAAATGATAGATTCCCAGCTCTAAAACCTGTAAACGATGAGGATGTTTTAAAACTGTGTGTTTACAAACCAGTGGATTCTGTTCATTGGATTTTAATAACAAAAGTTACTCAAATCTGAAGTCTAGAAGTCAATGTTCCCTTGAAGCAATGCCAATGAGTAAAGGGCTTTCAAACACAAGCACTAAATTGATAAGCACTGCAAACCAAAGTCCATCAACCTCATCTTTACAGTCAATGCTTACACTATTTCACTACCAAATACATAAAGCTAATTCAGGACCTTTTTATATCAATCTTTCTGAAAATGATCCCAAACTTGCTGCTTCTCACTCTTAATTATATACACAAAAATAAGGGAACAAAAAGGTTAAGTATCTTAAAAGGTGGCAAAAAAAAAAGAAAAAAAAAACTTCGATTGAGTTTTATTTTATTTTCGAGCACTCAGACATGCAACTTTCAGTCCAGGATCTAGATGACCCATCAGCTCAACCTTCTTCTCAGAAGCCTGAACATTTGCCAGGATACAATATACAGGAAGAAGCTATGGAGAAGGTACAAAATAACCCCATCAGCTCAGGGGCAGTATGTAGTTGACAAAGAACTAGTTTTACATATTTCCACAACTATGAGACTGACTATGCATAATGACTTATCTAACACTGGTGTGGGGGATAAGAGCATGTCATGGCCCTTTTATTAGCCTCCCAACTTTGGACAAGCACTTGACCCTCTCTGGGCCCCATGTTTTGTTAAGTGTAAAAGGACAACAGTACTTAAGCTGCCTCACCCGTTCCAATGGAAATCACACAGAAGCTGGTTTAACAAGGCAAGATGCCACATTCTTCCACATTCTTTAGGAAGCTTATGGTAAGAGCATAAAGATACCAGACCCACACAAACGTTTCCAATATGACCACTCCCATCTGCCCACATCCCTCACCATCCATTTCCTACATGTTCTACTTGCTGCCACACCCTTCCCAGACAATTGCTCTAAGCACTAGAAGCTGCTCTTAGCCTCTCTCTGAGCCCTCACCGTTATCACACATGTGCATAACTTGCCCCTACCTATGGGCAACATCTAATGACCTGCCCACAACAGCTAAACTTACTTTTAGCTCATAAGAAATTTATTATCACTGAAGAATAAATCAGCAAAGAATACACTTGAAACTGAAACAAACAAAAATCTAGCAACCATTTAATACAAGGTACAATTTGAAATTGGTAGTCTAGATATGGCTTGTGCTAAAAGAAACTGAAATGATCCTTCTGGAGAGCAGTATTGGAAATGCTTCAAAAGCCAAAAAAACTGTAAAGACCTTCTTAACCCTTTCGTGGTAAACATGAACACAATGCAAACACAGGCAAGCATATACACACACACTCACATAAAACAGAAAGACCAAAAGGAAATCACAAAAAGGTTATTCCTGGGCAGGGTGTGGTGGCTCATGCCTGTAATGCCAGCACTTTGGAAGGCTAAGGTGGGCGGATCACAAGGTCAGGAGATCGAGACCAGCCTAGCCAATATGGTGAAACCACGTCTCTACCAAAAATACAAAAATTAGGTGGGCATCATGGCACGTGCCTGTAATCCCAGCTACTCGGGAGGCTGAGGCAGGAGAATAGCTTAAATCAGGGAGTCGGAGGTTGCAGTGAGCCGATATCGTGCCACCGCACTCCAGCCTGGACTATAAAGTGAGACTCCGTCTTCAAAAAAAAAAAAAAAAAGTTATTCCTGTTTGATAAACTTATGAGCAATTTTTATTCTCTTCTTCATGCTTTTCTGTATTTTTCAATTTTCCTACATGTACTACTTTAATAAACAGTACATTCTCAACATAGAGATTACTTATACTAGTAAAAATTCAGATGCGAATGAGGAAAGGCTATTTTTTTTAACTTTTACTATTTCAAACATACATGTATTTAAAACACCAGTCTGTCATCTAGCTTCAATTATAAATATTTTGCTGGGCTGGGTGCAGCGGCTCACACCTGTAATCCCAATACTTTGGGAGGCTGAGGAGGGAGGATCACTTGCTCTCCAGGGGTTTGAGACCAGCGTCAGCAACATAGGAAGACCCTGTCTTTACAAAAAGCATTTTAAAAATTAGCTAGGCATGGTGGTGCCTGCAGGTAGCCCCAGCTACATAGGAGGCGGAGGCAGGAAGACTGCTTGAGCCCAGGAGGTCAAGGCTGCAGTGAGCCATGATCATGCCACTGCATGCCAACCTGGGTGACAGGGCAAGACTGTCTCAAAAAAAAGTGTGTGTGTGTGTGTGTGTGTGTGTGTGTGTGTGTGGCCAATCTTCTTTCATCTGTATCCATTCAGCTTTATTTTCTTAAGTAACTGAAAAACAAATCCCAGTCCTGTTATTTCAACCATATATCCTTCAATATGCATCTTTAATTGATAAGTTAAGAAAATTACATAGCCATCATTCCATCCAATATGACAATTCTACAATATCATATAATATCTTCAAAAATAAGAATGGTCTTTGAAATAACTGTTCAGCAACTAAAAATTCATATATAAAATTTGAAATTGTGCTATACCTCATACGCAGGATATATAAAGAAGTATAAACCAATAAGAATCGCTAAAACCAAAGAAAAGGGAAATTAAGTCAAAAAAAAAGAAAAAGGAAAGCATGACAAAAAAGAAAAGCGTATAAGAGACTTGAAAAGGCACTTCACTAAAGGGGAAATCCAAACAGTTAGTGAACGTAAGGGGAAAAAAATCATAATGCAACTTAAAAACCAAAAGATACGACTACACACACCAACAAAACGGCTAAAATTAAAGAAATGACAATATTGAGTGTTAGGGATGATGTGGAGCAAAGGAAACTTGGAAACATTGCTATAGGAAGTGTAAGCTGGAAAAAACGTTTTCTTCTAAAGCTAACATGTATATATAAGGTATACAAGAAAGTAGAAGGTGTAAGGTATGAAGTATAAGAAGCCAGACATAAAAGAATGTACGCGGAATAATCCTAGTTATATAAAATTCAGAAACAGGCCACACTGAGCTATACTGTTAAAAGAAGAAAATGATTACATTCAAGTCAGAATATCTAGTTACCTTTGAAGGAAAAGGGGAGCCTATACTAGGTAATAGGGCAGGTAAGGGAATTCTACGGTGCTGGTAACGTTTTCCTCGGTGTCAGAAATGGTACACAGGTGTTCACTTTACAATAATTCATAAAGCTCTAGGTTTACGCTCTATGCACTTTCTAGCTTATTTTATATTTCAAAATAAAAAAGGTTTCAAAATAATATAATAATGGAATTAAGGCAAGGATTATTAATGAATGCCATGGATGCTAAATCCACTGAATGAAAGGCTGTTGGGGACAGATAGACACCTAATATCTGAGTATCACCCCATAGATCACTTATTAGTGACAAAAGGGAATCCTTGCCTAAATCATTAAAGGATGGGGGCAGGAGGAGTTATAACATTACTGGAAAAATTTCAATATGGTCTATACACTAGATAATATTATATAAATGTTAAACTCCCTTGTAATTAAAAGATACATGCTTATATAATTCAGGGTAAACTATCGTGATGTCTGCATCATACATCAAATGTTACAGGAGAGAGAGAGACAGAAACAGGGACAAAGAGAGACAAAGAAACATTAAGCAAATGTGGCAAAATACTAGCTATAGATCAAGTATCCCTTATCCATAATGCTTGGGCCCGGAGGTATTTCAGATGTTGGATTTTTTCCCATTTTGGAGTATTTGCATTATACTTACAGGTTGAGCATCCCTAACCTGAAAAATCCAAAATGCTCCAAAATCCCAAACTTTCTGAGTTTAAATATGATGCTCAAAGGTCATGCTCAAAGGAAATGCTCATTGGAGCATTTTGGATTTCTGGATTAGGGATGCTTAACTTGTACTCGTGAACTTAAGTGAAGGGTATCCAGGTATGTATTGCACTAGTTTCACCTTTTGGTAGATAAGAAATTTTTCGAAAGAAAATAACGTGCCAGGCCTGGTGGCTCACACCTCTAATCCCAGCACTTTAGGAGGCCGAGGCAGTTAGATCTCTTGAGCTCAGGAGTTCAAGACCAGCCTGGGCAACATACTGAGACCCTGTCTCAATAAAAATTTCAAAAAATAATAAAATAAATAAAAAAAGAAAATAATGAGAGAGCGCATACAAGGTTTCAAAAGACAAAGAACTTTTAGAATTAGGGTTTTAAAATATCAGGAAAAGGCAAAAAGAATTAGAATATAACCAGTGAATTATGCTCCATTAAAATGGCTAAAAAGACTGTAATAACATGTACTTTTTTAAAAAAATAAAAAATTACAATTTGTCTGTGAAAAAAAAGGACAACATAAGCCTGTTCATATATAACTTTTTTTTAATGATTGAGGTAAAGTAATGGAAAAATATATCAAAAATACTGCTTCTGCTTTAAGGTGTCAGTATGATGGATCATATTTCCTGTTTTCCAAACACTTTTATAATGTATTTTTGCTTTAAAAAGTTTTAATGTAATGAAAAGATCAGCCAGATAACCACACACTATATTACTACTTAACAATTTCAGGTATTTGTACAATTACCTAGAGCTTCAGTTTGAAAAATACCAGCAGCAGAAATCCTACTGATGAATATTTCCTGTCATCCTTTGAGGAATCACCCAAAAGCACAACAAAAGAACACTTCTAAACTGCTTAAATGGTAACAAAACTGTCACATCCAATGATCCTTTACAAAACTCACTGTAAATATGAATGTACCTCATCATATATGCTCCCGTTAATATCTGCACCATAGATGGGTGCCACAAAAGTTAAGTTCTTCCAGTACTTGCGCTCCAAATCTTCGTAATCCAAGTATCTTGGAGTACAATATCTGTAAACGGTAGATGACAAAGTGCAAACCAGTAAGTCAGTTTTAGGGGTTTTCTCACCAAAGTGATTTAAATCTCTTTCTAAAACAAAATCCTACCAAAACGAAAATACTGCATGTTGTCAAATCTAACAAGTAAACATACAAATTGATTTACATAGCTATCTGATTATTAAGGTTGCTAAATAACTCAATATCACTTTACATTGTATCAGAAAATTACTTTCATGAAAACACCAACAACAGAAGCAGAAAAGTCGTTTAAAAGTCATTATTTTAGCTTTCAAAGTATTTTTAAAATCTTTAATCAACTATACTATGCTAAGAAATTTTACATATTTATATAAAAATGACATAACACTTAAAGAAAAGCTGACAAACAATAATCTCGCTAAAAATCCAAGAAAGTAAAGTTAAAACAAGATATTTTGCAGTTTGGCAAAATGATTGGCAAATGCTGAATATATTAATGACAAGAAAATAATGACACCTCTTAGACAACTAGAGTAGGAATATAAGCTGGTAAAACCATTCCAGGATATAATTTTTCTACACATATAAAAAGCTTTCAAAAACTGATATATTTGACTCAAAATCTAAATGTAGAAATTCACCCTAACAACACAGAGATATGTACAATGACAGTCGACCCAGATGTCTGCTGCAGCATTAATTGAAAATGCAAGTTTATATCCATCAACCAGTAATTAGCTTAAAAAATACAGAATATAAAACAAGAAAGATCTTTCAAGATGCTGACATCAAATTCTACCCACAGTGAATAAATCAGGTTACATAAGTGTGTATACTATATCTAATTACGTAAAAAAAGAAAAAAATCTGTAAATGTATATTAAGTCATCAGAAAGAAATGTACACCAAATTATTAATATTAATGGTTATCTCTCACAGAAATTACAGAAAAGCACTTACTTCTCTGTATTATTAGGAATTTGAACAATAATCTTACCACAAAAAAGGAATACCAATGTTTCTTCAGGAAGAAAATAAGCAAAGAAAGAAACAAATGAGAAAATAATGAAACGAAGTTAAAAAGGTATTTAGCAGTAGCAGAATCCCTATAAAGCATACTGGACATTTTAGATTGACTAATTATAGAATAACCGACATCTACACTCACTATACTGGGGACCCCAAACTAGTTATCTGTGTAACAAGAATATCAAATAATGTAACAACTGTATTCAAAATACCAAACAACTTAATTTAACAACTGTATTCAAAATATAGAACAATTTGAATTTACCCAGAACACTAGAATCTCAAGCACAGTCAAAAATAAAAAGGACGGGCATGGGATGGGCGTGGTGGCTCACACCTATAATCCCAGCACTTTGGGAGCCTAAGGCAGGAGGATCATTTGAGCTCAGGAGTTCAAGATCAGCCTAGGTAGTGAGACCCTCTCTCTATTTTCTAAAGAATTAAAAATTATTTTTAATTTTGTTAATGCTTTTGTTTTGCTTTGTTTTGTTTTGAGATAGAGTCTCACTCTTGTTGCCCAGTGCAATGGCATGATCTCGGCTCACCACAACCTCTGCCTACCAGGTTCAAGCGATTCTCCTGCCTCAGCCTCCCCAGTAGCTGGGATTATAGGCATGCACCACCACACCCAGCTAATTTTGTATTTTTAGTAGGGACAGGGTTTCTCGATATTGGTCAGGCTGGTCTCAAACTCCCAACTTCAGGTGATCTGCCTGCCTCGGCCTCCCAAGTCCTGGGATTTACAGGCGTGAGCCAGCACGCCCAGCCTTAAAAATGTTTTTAATAAAAAGAATTAGCATGAAAGCACCATTAACCTGTCATCATTCCACCACTTCTACTAGTAGGTTCCAGTAGTATCGGGAATTCCAGGCACAAGCTAAGCAAGCTAACTAAAGGTCCGAGTCAGGTGACAGAGACAGGTGTACATCCCTATTCCCCAGAGAAGGGGTTCCCAATCCCCAGTACGGGTCTGTGGCCTGTTAGGAACCAGGATGCACAATAGGAGGTCAGTGGCAGGTGAGCATTACTGCTTGAGCTCCACCTCCTGTCAGATCAGTGGCAGCATTAGATTCTCATGGGAGTGTGAACCCTGTTGTGAACTGTGCATGTGAGGGATTCGAGGTTGCACGCTCCTTATGAGAACCTAATGCCTGATGATCTGAGGTAGGACAGTTTCATCCCAAAACCATCCCGCCACCCCCATCCAGAGAAAAATTGTCTTCCACGAAACCAGTCCCTTGCCAAAAAGGTTGGGGACCGCTGCCCCAAAACACAGAATGATCAGAAAGGAGAAGATAACAGAGATGCTATGTATGAGGACTTCTACAGAAACTTCCAAGATTTTTGGAAATTGAAGTCCTAATCTGCTTTATACCATATATCAAGACCTATATAATCTATCACTATGTACTCAATCAGTAACAACTTTTTTTTTTTTTTTTTGAGACAGAGTCTTGCTCTGTCACCCAGGTTGGAGTGCAGTGGCATGATCTCGGTTCACTGCAACCTCCACCTCCTGGGTTCAAGCGATTCTCCTGCCTCGGCCTCCCAAGGAGCTGGGATTACAGGCACGTGCAGTATGTTTTTAAAAACTCATAACTCTAAGAGAGAAACTTAAAGTTTGGTATTGTCCATTGAAGTTAAAACCTAAAATCCTTAAATATATTAAACAAATATTAATTCTCAACTAGAAAAAAATGACCAGTTCACATGGCTAGTATCTGATCAGAGCCCTTCCCTTCCCTAATGGACTGTCCAACAATCACAGCTGTTCCACAAATCCAGTGTAAATTTGCCCAATACTGATTCAACCATATCTTCTTACCCAGAACCTCTCACTCACTGCGGCACAGTTCTTAAAAGGTGGGTTCCAGGGCCAGGCTAGCCATGTTTAAATTCAGGCTTCCATTCATAAGCCATGTAACCCTGGACAGGGGGCTGAATTTCTCTGGAACTCAGTTATTCCTCTGAAAAGTAGGGATAAATACAGCTAAGCTTGTTGTGAGGGCTCCATCAGATAATTATGGAAAGCACTTGGCTCTGTGCCTAGAGGAAAGTACACATCAGTAATGTAAGTGATTCATACCATTATAAATTTTTATATTAGAGTTACATCGGAAATCTCTAAGTTGACTTTGGACTACATTGCATTATCAACCAAATGAGCATGTCATCTTCTCTACTGCTAAGACTGAGCACATGAGGGACTATGTGCCAATGCCAGGGCATGTGCTGAAGAAAAATAGATGAATGGAAAGATCCCAGCACTTTGGGAGGCCGAGGTGGGCGGATCAGAGGTCAACAGTTAGAGATCAGCCTGGCCAACATGTTGAAACCTCATCTCCATTAAAACACAAAAAATGTAGCCAGGCATGGTGGCGCGAGCCTGTGGTCCCAGTTGCTCGGGAGGCTGAGGCAGAAGAATCACTTGAAACCAGCAGGCAGAGGTTGCAGTGAGCCGAGATCACGCCACTGCACTCCATCCTGGGCAACAGAGTGAGACTCCATCTCAAAAAAAAAAAAAAAAAAAAAAAAAAAAAAAAAGGCCAGCAGAAAACCTCCGGTCTCCAGTAAAAATTAATCTCATAACATGACCATTCCACAACAGGTGATCCTGGCACAGCTCTGTGTGGACAAGTAAAAGCCTTGGTTCTTGAGGCTTAGAAATCCATTTCCTTGGCATTTGAAATAAATTTCTACATGAAACTGGCAGAAGAAATACAACAATATGAATTTCAAAAGTTGTTTAACATTACAATTGTAATGAAACTAATCTAAATCAAAAGACAAATTAACTTTTTTTTTTTTGAGACAGGGTCTTGCTTTGTCACCCAGGCTCGGGGGCAATGGTGCAATCACGACTCACTGAAGCCTCGGCTTCCCAGGCTCAAGTAATCCTTCTGCCTCAGCCTCCGAGTAGCTGGGACTACAGACACATGCCACCATGCAAGGCTAATTTTTTATTTTTTGTAGAGACGGGATCTCACTTTGTTGACCAGGCTGGTCTTGAACTCCTGGCTCAAGGAATTCTCCCACCTCAGCCTCCTAAAGTGTTGGGATTACAGGCGTGAACCACTGTACCCAGCGTAAATTAACTTGAAAAGAAATAAAATTATTGGGAGGCCAAGATAGGCGGATCACGAGGTCAGGAGATCGAGACCATGCTGGCTAACACGGTGAAACCCCGTCTCCACTAAAAAATACAAAATACTAGCCGGGCGAGTGGCGGTCCTGCAGTCCCAGCTACTCAGGAGGCTGAGGCAGGAGAATGGCGTGAACCCGGGAGGCGGAGCTTGCAGTGAGTTGAGATCCGGCCACTGCACTCCAGCCTGGGCGACAGAGCGAGACTCCATCTCAAAAAAAAAAAAAAGAAAGAAAATTAAAGCTAGAAATAATTTTTCAAATAATTTCCCATAATGGTTACATTTTACAACTAAAAAAAAAAGCCAACAATTTTTTAAAACATCTCTAAACTCCAGAATGTCAAGAAATGTATATTCTCTTAATAAGTAAATCTTTACAATTTGCCTAAAAATTTATACCATTTTAAATGTATTTTAGTTTTTATAACACTATTTATTCATTCCATCAATATATATTGAAAAAGCACCAGGCCGGGCGCGGTGGCTCAAGCCTGTAATCCCAGCACTTTGGGAGGCCGAGACGGGCGGATCACGAGGTCAGGAGATCGAGACCATCCTGGCGAACACGGTGAAACCCCGTCTCTACTAAAAAAATACAAAAAACTAGCCGGGCGAGGTGGCGGGCGCCTGTAGTCCCAGCTACTCCGGAGGCTGAGGCAGGAGAATGGCGTAAACCCGGAAGGCGGAGCTTGCAGTGAGCTGAGATCCGGCCACTGCACTCCAGCCTGGGCGACAGAGCCAGACTCCGTCTCAAAAAAAAAAAAAAGAAAAAAAAAGAAAAAGCACCTACCATATCCCAGACACTATACCAAGCACTGTGCACACAGTGATACACAAAACAATGTCACCTGAATGGCTATCTTCAGAAAGAGTAAATCTACAACCAAGCCAGTAGAGTAATAATTTAACAGAGATATGTATAAAATTAGTACTCAGTAAAATTATCTTGAAGTAGAAAACCGATACCATGCTGCAATAATCAAATGGGCTAGAGAGGATGATCAAAGTTTCTTTATAACGAGAGAAGAACGAACTTCAAGTCTCAAGTCTTAACAATATTTTGAATTGCCAAGTAATACAAACAATGATTGCCTCTCAAAGTTAAAGTTATATATTGCTATATTTGAAATTTTATTTGATATTTTTCAAGATAGGGTCTTGCTCTGTCACCTAGGCTGGAGTACAGTGGTGCAATCACGACTCACTGTAGCATCGACCTCCCAGGCTCAAGCAATCCTCAGCCTCCTGAGTAGTTGGGACTACAGGTACATACCACCTGCCTGGCTAATTTTTTATTTGTTGTAGAGATGGGGTTTGCCATGTCATCCAGGCTGATCTCGAACTCCTGGGTTCAAGCATTCCACCTACCTCGGCTTCCCAAAGTGCTGGGATTACAAGTGTGAGCCACCACATCCAGCCTATTTTTGAAATTTTAAATAAGCACATATTACTTTTGTAACTGGTAGAAATGTTTCTGACCATCCTTCAAAATCTATCTCAACAGTGCCTACAAAAGGAAATTACCCATTACTTATAAACAACCACAGAAGCTTTGTATTCCTTTGAAACCTCATAGCACTTTGTACCTTTCCTATGGCAGTTATGATAATTATTAAGAGTATTAACCATAGTTTTTAGTGAGTATAATCTGATTACTTTTAAGTACAAATTATCCCTTGAAATATCAAAGGAGCCAAGCAGGGTTATTACTCAATGACCTAACCTATTCGATTAACACTTTAAGAGGGACACTGGAAATGGGTACTAAAACATAGTAACAGAAAACAATCAATAGTTTATACTCGTAAACAGGTTTAATTGCTTCTGCAATCTTGTTTCAACAGCATTGTACTTATAAAAGAATTCTGGAAGAGTTCGAAAGAAAATGCTTCCAATCTTCGCTGAAAGTTTCATGTTCTCGATTAATAAGATCTGAAAGAATAAAACTCTATTAATACCTACCCCAAAAATTCAAAAGAAATGATTCAAATTATATTAAATATAAAATTTTCAATTTCTCTGGAATAGCCAGAATGTTCCATAGTAGGAATTTAACATGCAGAAATAAGAGTCTTCATGTAGCATCATGTGCTTACAATGTCAAATATAATTTTTTTAAAGGAAGATACCTAAATTCACCCAAAGTCTTAATCTCATTCACACCCATCCAGGGAATTCGGAAACTATGATTTCTGGTTGGTCTTTCAGGTTTTGTTTTATTTTGTTTTTGTTAGATTTATGCTTTGTTCTGGGGCCTTAACTATCATATCAGAATTTTTTAAAAGAAGTTTAATAATAATTGTGACAATGTTTAAATATACCCACAAATTCATTGACACTCCTCCCTTCAAGAAGTAGAGCTTCATTCTCCTCCCCTTGAATGGAGGCTACGCTTACCAACTGGCTTGGAACAAAAAGAATATGCCAGATGTGACAGTGTGTCACTTCTGAAACAGGGAAAGGAAAAACATGTGGCTTCCTTCTTGCTCGCTCTCTCAGATCACTTGTTCTGGGAGAAGCCAGCTGCCACAACATGAGGAACAGTCCATATAACAAGGAACTGAGGGCCCCATCAAAAGCCATGAAAGGGGAGCACTCTTGTAAGAGAATCTTCCAGCCACAATTAAATGCTCAGATGACTGCAGCCCAGGCAACACCCTAACTGCAACCTCATGAGACCCTGAGGCAGAACTACGTAGCTAAGCCACTCTCAGATTCCTGACCTTCAGAAATTATGGGTTGGTTTAAGTAGCTAAGATTTGGGATAATTTTTTTTTTTTTTTTTTTTTTTGAGACAGAGTTTCGCTCTTGTTGCCCAGGCTGGAGTGCAATAGCGCAATCTTGGCTCACCACAACCTCCGCCTCCCGGTTTCAAGCAATTCTGCTGCCTCAGCCTCCTGAGAAGCTGGGATTACAGGCATGCATCAGCCACCACGCACAGCTAATTTTGTATTTTTAGTGGAGACAAGGTTTCTCCATGTTGATCAGGCTGCTCTTGAACTCCCGACCTCAGGTGATCCGCCCGCCTCAGCCTCCCAAAGTGCTAGGATTACAGGCATGAGACACTGCGCCCAGCCAATTTCGGATAATTTATTACACAACAATAAATAACTAATGCAATGGTGGCCTTTCTAGTCTTTCAAGGTTTGCTTTTAAAAGTACTAATTTTCTAATACATACAAATCATTTAAGGCTTAAACATTACCAAATATACACCAAAAAAACTGCCCAACAAACATGAATCATGTGTAGAATCAAAAACTCATGGCAACTATGGAATAAGAAGTTCCATTTATAGCTACTATGAATGAGATAATAAAAAGCAATTTCTTTAACACTAAGCCAAATGTTTAGGCAACCACCTAAAGAACAGAAAACAGAAACGGTTAAATGAAGGGTGAAAGACATTGCAGGGGAGACTCCTGCTTTTCATTTATAAGCTCCTCTGTCTACTTTGTTTCTTAACATATTTACATAAATTTTTGAAGGAAACAGAAATAGCAAACTGATTCTACTCACTTGCCACTGTTGGCCAGCTGCCTGAACTCCTTCACAGTCATTGCTTTTTTCTGGATGTTGTACTGAGTGAACAGTCCTGACTGCCCTGTGACCATCTGCTGAATTGGTGCTGGAATGAGCAAATTATCAATGTCATCATAGCACTGTCTTGGCTTCCACTCCTTAGGAGGAATCACCTAAAAATAAAATAATGAAATAAAATATCATCTTGAAAATACTCCAAGTAATTTAGCTTTTAAGTATTCTGATAAAATACAACTGAAGAATTTCTCAGTCTTTCTATGACAAATGCATTAAAAAATGAATATTTGCAATAAAGCAATATGATTGTTATTCAACAGCAAAATTTATTGAGTACTCACTATTCTAAACACTGTACTTGTATTAAACTCATTTTGAGGAGGTACTATTAACATCTTGATTTTAAAGATATAATTGAAAGACACAAAGAAGTAAAATAATTTGAAGTTAAAATGGCTAAAGACTACTTGAGCTGAGATTCTAATTACCGAGCAGTTATGTTAACCTGCCTCTCAATAGACGAAATTGGCAGGGCACAGTGGCTCACACCTGTAATCCCAGCACTTTGGGGAGCCGAGGCTGGTGGATCACCAGGTCAGGAGTTCAAGACCATCCTGGCTAACATGGTGAAACCCCGTCTCTACTAAAAATACAAAACTTAGCTGGGTGTGGAGGCACGTGCCTGTAGTTCCAGCTACTTGGGAGGCTGAGGGAGAAGAATCGCTTGAACCCAGGAGACAGGGGTTGCAGTGAGCCGAGATCACACCACTGCACTCCAGCCTGGGTGACACATGGAAATTCTGTCTCAGGGAAAAAAAAAAGATGAAATTATATTTACATAAATAATTTCTTCCCCAAAGAAGTTCATCTTTATTGAATATGATCTAAGTAAGTAGCTATGTGCTGTTTATATTATTATGAGAAAAATAAGTAAAAATATAGTCAACATTATATTCTTTTTTTTTTTTTGAGACAGAGTCTCACTCTGTCACTCAGGCTAGAGTGCAGTGGCACAATCTCGGCTCACTGCAACCTTCACCTCCCTGGGTTCAAGCGATTCTTCTGCCTCAGCCTCCCGAGTAGCCAGGATTACAGGTGCCTGCTACTACACCCAGCTAATTTTGATAGAGACAGGGTTTCACCATCTTGGCCAGGGTGGTCTTGAACTCCTGACCTCATGACCCACCCACCTCGGCTTCCCAAAGTGTTGGGATTACAGGCATGAGCCACTGTGACCAGCCAACATTATATTCTTTATAGACTTCTCACACAATATGGTGATAGCACAGTGGCATGCTAGTAGATGTTTAATAACCAGCTTCCAGAAAGGTGGAGGAAACCTTGATTTGTAGTTGTTACCCGTTTCCATGGTATAATACTCCCACCATGGCCAATCTGAACCTACCAATGTGACATCACTATATATGCGGCTGGGAAGGGATGCGCACTGTTAACTCTGAAATGCCAGTATAAGGTACCTCAGCACACCAGTGTTTGCCTTTAGTTTTTAAGCACTTCATTACCAAGAGTGAAAAGATCCAGAAAACATTAAGACCAAAAATACATATTGATAGGATTTAAAATACGAAAGTACCGGCCAGGCATGGTGGCTCACACCTATAATCTCGGCACTTTGGGAGGCCAAGATGGTAAATCACTTGAGGCCAGGAGTTCGAGACCCGCCTGGCCAGTATGGTGAAACCCCACCTCTACTAAAATAACAAAAATTATCCTGGCGTGGTGGCAGGTACCTGTAATCCCAGGTACTCGGGAGGCTGAGGCAAGAGAATTGCTTTGAACTTGGGAGATGGAGGCTGCAGTGAGCCAAGATCACACCACTGCACTCTAGCCTGAGAGACAGAGTTAGACTCCGTCTCATAAATAAAATAAAATAACATAAAAATAGAATGTATAACGCCATAAATTCACGATCTATGGTTGGAACTTTTCTTTTTTGTTTATTTTTTGGGGGCTTTTTTGGGTTTTGTTTTTGGTTTTTTTGAGACAGAGTTTCATTCTTGTTGCCCAGGCTGGAATGCAATAGCGTGATCTTGGCTCACCGCAACCTCCACCTCCTGGGTTCAAGCGATTCTGCTGCTTCAGCCTCCCAAGGGGCTGGGATTACAGGCATGTGCCACTACGCCCGGCTACTTTTTTTTTTTTTTTTTTTTTGGCAGTAGAGACAGGATTTCTCCATGTTAGTCAGGCTAGTCTCGAACTCCTGAGCTCAACTGATCCACCCGCCTCAGCCTCCCAAAGTGCTGGGATTACAGGCGTGAGCCACTGCGCCTGGCCACTTTACCACCTTTAGAAGTCGTTTTAATTTTTTTAAAACAATCTTTTTTTTTTGGTTTGAGACAGAGTTTCGCTCTTGTTGCCCAGGGTGGAGTCCAATGGTGCAATCTCAGCTCACCGCAACCTCCGCCTCCCAGGGTCAAGGAATTCTCCTGCCTCAGCCTCCCGAGCAGCTGGGACTACAGGGGCGCACCATCACGCCAGCTAATTTTTATATTTTTAGTAGCACACCGTTTCACCATGTTGGCCAGGATGGTCTCGATCTCCTGACCTTGTGATCTGCCCACCTCGGCCTCCCAAAGTGTTGGGATTACAGGTGTGAGCCACCGCACCTGGCCTAAAACAATCTTTTTAAACTTTCCTATTGAAAAACAGCACACATGTAGAAAATGCATAATCACAAGCACACAGCTCTGTGAATTATTACAAAGCAAACACCAAAGGACCCACTGCCCAGTTGTAAGGGGCAAGATATTGCTGGCACAAGACAAGCCCTCCAAGCGCCCTTTTCCAACTACATCTTCCCTATTGCCCAAGAGGTAACCACAATTATGGTGTTTATGGCAATTATTTCATTGCTGGGCTTTAGTTTTATGCTTCTATATGCATACCTATTCACCAGTTTTGCAAATGTATAAAAATGCAATCCTACAGTATACACTATTTGAGGTTTATCTTTTATACTTCACTCATACTTTGTGAGATTTAAATATAATGGTCTAGGTCAGGCACGGTGGCTCACTCCTGTAATCTCAGCACTTTGGGAGGCCAAGGTAGACAGATCACCTGAGGTCAGAAGTTTAAGAACAACCTGGCCAACATGGTGAAACCCTGTCTCTACTAAAAATACAAAAATTAGCCAGGCGTGGTTGTCGATGCCTGTAATCCCAGCTCCTCCAGAGGCTGAGGCAGGTGAATCATTGCAGTGAACTGAGATCGCACCACTGCACTACAGCCTGGGTGACAGAGTGAGACTCTGTCTCTAAATAAATAAACAAACAAAGGGCCTATGTAGCTGAAGCTCATTGATTTTCATTACTACTCAGTATTTTTTCTTATAAATATTTATGTATTTATAAACTGATAACCACTGATGGTCATGTGGCTTTTTCTAATTATTGGCTACTGCAAATAATGCTATTAATATTCTTATACAGATATTCTAGTGCATATATGCACATGGGTCTCCACAATATCCATGCACACACAGATACCTCTAAGAATGAAATTACTGACACATAGGATACATGTAGTTCAAATTTAATAGATATTACCAACTGTTGCCAAAGTGGTTGTACCAATATGCACTCCCAAATACAACATACAAGAGTTCCCATTTCTCCACATCTCCATCATCACCTAATACTGTCCATCATTTAACTTTTAGTCTTTCTGGTAGGTGTACAGTGGTACTCAACTGTGAATTTTATTTGTATTTTCCGAATAACTGAAGAAAGAAACCTCCTCATACATATGTTTACTGACCTTACTGATACTCTTTTTTTTTTTTTTTTCTTTTTTTGAGACGAAGTTTCTCTTTTGTTCCCTAGGCTGGAGTGCAATGGTGCGATCTCAGCTCACTGCAACCTCCACCTCCTGGGTTCAAGCAATTCTCCTGCCTCAGCCTCCATACTGCCTGGAATTACAGGTGCCTGCCACCATGCCCAGCTAATTTTTTGTATTTCCAGTAGAGACAGGGTTTCACTGTTGGCCAGGCTGGTCTCGAACTCCTGATCTCAGGTGATCCACCCGCCTCAGCCTCCCAAAGTGCTGGGATTACAGGTGTGAGCCACCACGCCCAGCTCACTGATACTCCCCTTTATAAAGTACTTATTCAAGTCTTTTTACCATTTTACTATTTCATTGTTGGGTTTTTTCTTATTAATGTATAGGAGTCTTTTATATATTATTTTATATATCCAAGGAGAATACTCTTGGATGTGTATGTGTGTATGTAGGCATATACAGAGAGAGAGAGAGAGAGAGAGAGAGAGACAGAGAGAGAGAGACAGAGAGAAAGCATGCGTACACAAGAGCATGTAAATATCTTCTCTTATCCTGTAACTTGCCCTCCAATCTTTTTTTCAAGAGACAAAGTCTGGCTCTGTCACCCACGCTGGAGTACAATGGCACGAGGGTAACTCACTGTAACCTCAAACTCCTGTGCTCAAACGATCCTCCCACCTCAGTTTCCCTGAATAGCTGGGACTACAGGTATGCAACCACCACACCTGGCTAATTTTTTAATTTTTGTAGAGACAGCGTTTTGCTATGTTGCCCAGGCTTGTATGGGCTTTTATGTTATCTTTCGATAAACATCAATTCTTAATTTTAATGTAATCCAACCTTTCACATTTGCCTTTATAGGTACTGCTATAATCTTCAGTTCAAAAAAATATTTCCCTACTCAAGGACACAAAAATGGTCTACTTTATATTATAAGAGTGTTAAAGTTTTGTCTTTCACATTTAGATACAAATGTACCTATAACTGTGAAACTCAAGTCAAGCTTCATCAGATACAGAAACCTGGGGTCAGGAGATGAGTAACTTGGCCAACGCTATACAGCTTATAAGTGAGAGTTATTAGCTCAAAAAAAACAAAATCACTTCACAGTGAGCTGTCAATTTTACCTTAATTTTCATCAGCAATATAAGGATACTACATATTTTATATCCTCCAAGGTATGTTTGTTTAAAATGAGAACACTGTCCAGGCACGGTGGCTCAGGCATGTAATCCCAACACTTCGGGAGGCCAAGTCGGGAGGAAGACTTAAGCTCAGGAGTTCGAGACAAGCCTAGGCAAAATGGCAAAAGCTCATCTCTACAAAAAAATAGAAAAATTAGCCAGGTGTGGTGGCACACACCTACAGTCCTAGCTACTCGGGAGGCTGA